ATATTGCCCTGAAGGGGAAGAAAACCCCGGGTTCTATGAGGTACTTAGGGTTTGGAGGCACCAAACCCTAAATCACCACCACTTTTAAGGCAGGGAGGCCCTCTCGTGGCTGTGACCATGCAGTGGGAAGGGGCTAGGCAGCGACTACTGATTCATACTGACACATTTGCTGTTTAATTCACTCACTGGCTCCAAATCAAGCCCGAATCTCCCCTTTCCCTGGAAAGCTCAGGCCAGCAACCATTTTCCTGACTCCCACTTGCCAACCTTTGCAGGTAGGATGGTTTCACTGAACATAATTTGGCTGGACACTGATTTAAAACCCAGCTGCTTTGCTGGGAGAGATTTCCTCCCACCTCCTTACTTTAAAAGGAAAACTAGTGGAACTGCTTGTTTTAACATCAGGTGGTGTTTAAGGTGGCTGCAGAACCACTTCGCTCTCCCAGAAAATTTCCAGGGATAGACTTAGGGTTTCCCACAGCAGCGTAGGGCGGCACTGACATCTAGTGGTCTCATTTTTGGGGATTATAGTTGCTTCAGTGATAGCTCAAATAATTCTCCCAAGTGTTTTCCCTGGGCTGAGGGCAAGCGGGAATACCTAAAACTCAGCCTGACACTCAAAATTTGGACGTGAACCCGTTTTCAGAGCAAGGAGGTGACAACAAAACACCCCAGAGACCCCCGAAATGGGGCAATCCTCCCTGCTGCTGAGCAGGAACAGCAAATGCAACGTAGGGCTCATCCTGGCAGCCCAAAGTCCCTTGGGAAACGGGTGTTCGGTGGCGAGAACCCTTCGGGAAGGGTGCAGGAGGGACGTGCCCTCTGCCTGGCTTTGCAGAGCTGGGGACACACAGAGGGGAGCGGGGCAGACGTTTTCAAGCTGTTTGATCAAAAGGGTCTTTAAATCACACTGACTGGGGAGTTAATGGCTTTCATATGCTCAGACGGCCCCTAGAAAAGAGAGTTTGGTGACAGCGCGTCCTGCAAGGGGTTAAGAAGCAGGAACCCCAACAAGCCTTGGGGTGCCTCGTCCTCTGTAGGGAGGAGATGCAGAGGTGCAGCCAGGTGAGGCTTTACTCCCTCCCAGTGCGTCTTCGAGCTGGTTTGTAACGAGCCGACGAGGCCGCAAGAAATTCCAGCTACTGTTAGCAGAACGAGCTGCTAATGAAAACCAGCGGTGCCTCCAAGCTAGGATGCAAGCACGTCCTCCCAGATCAAAGATGCAGCTCCGGGAGCGGAAAGCCAAGAATAAATTACATCCTGTCGCCCGCAGCCTTACCTGTCCTAGTTCAGAGCAGGGGCACCTCCTCCCTGACTCCCCTCCTGTGGGAAGGCAAAGCCCGAGGGCATTCTGGCACCTTCAGTGGGGTGTGGGGTTGGAGGAAGGCTGAGTCAGGGCTCACTATTGGGTTCTGCACTTTCTTTCTGGTATTAAAACACGACGTATGTTTTCTCCCCGGCCCCGTGAAGCTGTAGAGGGAGGAAAATCCACGCTTGGCAACGGGAAGAAGCGGTTCCAGCTGCAGGAGAGGAGGGGGCTGTACACATTGGATACACGTTGGATACACAGCCGTGGGGAGATATCCTATACCAAACTACACCGTGCCTGGGGGTGCTTTCCCCTCTCCCTGCAGTGTTCTGGCCACCCAACATCTGAATTGGAAGTGTCCCCCTCCACATCTGTATTACTGTCTCCCACAAGCATCCGAAACTACTTTTAATTATTATTTCCTCCCCTCCTCCGGGCACAAACCCCACACATTAAAAAAGGAGTAACCAGAGCCTTGGCCCCAGGGCAGCTTCTATTTAGAGCCAAGGCAGTGTGTTTACTATATAGGTAGGGACGTGGCTTTTAAGTGGAGATAATAATAGAGAGAAAGATGTAAATACATCCTGGAGTAAAGGGAGAGCAGCCTTTAACCCTGTGCCTCGTTACTCAGCCCTGGTCAGACTTCGGTTTCCCAGGAATCCTGAGGTGTCAAATGCTGGATCTTTTCAGGATTAGGCTGAGGGGAAAAAAACCTCAGTGTGGATGAGCAGGTCCTTGGGTTGCATCCACAGCAGGGTTAAAGGAGCACAAGCCTGGTCCTGTGTGCTATTCCCTGTAAAATGTTTCAAAAATCAGAGTATGGAGCAGGATAGGACCCACAACCCCCAGTCTGCAGCAAACACATCCTGAGATATTCCAGTGCTGCACAAAGGGTACTCCAGAGGCCAGGAATCTCATGAACTAATGGGGAAGGAGGGCTTAAGAGGAAAGAAGGAGTAATATATACGTAGTGATTTCCCTGTAAGTGATTTCCCTTTCTCCGTGACAGACAGTTGTTCCCTGGGGCTGAGCGAGTTCCCAGCCAGGGACAGAGTGTTTCCACCCTTCTTATGGTGTTTGCCACGCTGAGCACACAGTAGCTACCTGGATTTACAGCCTGAGACTTTGATATTCCTGTAGGATTTTCCCTCACTGCAAGAGAACACGAATGGGAATTCAAACTCAGTCTGAAAGGGGGTGAATGAAGGCTTTGTAAATGAAGTCGCACAACACACACTGAGAAACAAAACCAACAGAAACAAGGCAATATGAGAGCTGGCTACATTATTTTAATCTCATAGGTATTTTGCAGAAGTCTTATTTAGCCCATTGCCTTGTTCCAGCTGGAGGAAACCCCATGTGGATCCAGCTGTTGATTCAAGGCATGGAAACTCCTTGTACATGTGTCCCTGTTGGAGTTTTCCCCGGGGGCCCAAAGCCCTCTCTGTCCCTGGCTATGGGAAGCACGTGGGAACCTCCGGAGGCACCTTCTGAAACAAGATGTTTTCCAGCTGGCAAGGGCCGGGTGCTTTCCAACTGAGAAGGGATGCTGAGGGAAACGGGAGAGGAATTAGCCCCCAGGTTCCTTCCCCCCGAGCCTGGGCAGGATCAGACCCCGGGCGGGAAGAGCTGGGCCTGCAGAAGGGGTTAATGCTGGAAGAGCAACAGGCTGGAGTTGACACTCGGAGGCAGGCGGGGCTGCCTGCGTCTGATTGGCCTCAAATCGCATCCAAAAGTG